CACACCTCGACTTCCAGTTTTTTTCTGGTTAATTGAAGAGTCTCTTGGCCATTTCAGCCTGGGCTGTCTTTGAACTACTATCTGCAGATCTGAGCCTCCTGAGTAGTTAGCATTACCAGTGCAAGCTACCAGTGCCTGGATGGGATAGTGTTGTGAAAGCAAATGATGAAGCCTGCCCTAAGCTCACCAGAACCCTTTTGGGTTCTCCAGGATGTTCCTGGAGCAGCTAGACCTGTGAGTTGTTGGACTAGCTCTTCTTTGTTTTTGTTTAGAGCCATGCTAGCCTTTCTCTTGCTCTAATCCACACTCTGTGCATGGAAAAACAACCAAAATAACTCTGGGAGGCACTGTAGTGGCTAAAGCCCAAACTATAGGCTTTTAGTTAGACATTACTTAAGTTAGCCTCCCACCTCTTGCTGTTGATTCCTCTAAATCACTTACTATAATAAAACACATTGTGAGAACTCAACAAATGGTAGCTTTTCACTATCATTACCCTTTACTGGTGACACTATCTTCTAGTTGTTTGTAGTCAAGTTTTTATGCCTTGATCAGTTTGTGGCCTGACAGGGCCTGTGAAATGCTGACTATCCTACTTGTAGCAAGGCTTCTGATTTTGACTGCTTTTCTTGCAGGCTGTAGAAAAGAAATATCTTTTTTCATTTATTTAGCTACAATTCTGTTTCTTTCTGGTCAATACCACTAGGAAGTGGTGTGCAGATTTTCCCACAGACTTGAAATAGTAATTTAAGTTTGTTATTTTTCTTCTTTGTAAACTCATGTGAGGGTTTTGAATTGGCTCTTACAAGATACTCCCAGGAAAGAAGAGGTAAGGGAATAACAAGATTATATGTTGTTACCTTAGGACCTTGTTAAACTAGAGTTATTGTTGAGCTAAGGCTAGTCATGGGGCACATTGAACAGCTATTCTAAGAACTTTTTCAGAACTCACCACCTTTTACACCTCATTGTTCTCTCTCCATTTGTTGATATATTCTCTTTCCTCCAGAAATCCCTGATCAGAAAGTCTGTGGTGGTTCTAGAGCTGGTGATAAGTGTTTATTGAGGTTATTTCTCTTAGTATGTAATGCTGATCCCTTCTCTTACCTTCTCTCCCACTGAAAAAAAGTCTTACAAATAAGTTTATTGTGCCCCTGAGCCAAGCTACACTTTTATTTTCTTCTTAGCTCCTAAAAGACAGAGCTGATGTCTTTTCTGATTCCTTAAAGATTTATCCCCTAACTTTAAACAGAAACTGTCTTTTCATTATTTTTGCTACATTATTATTATTTTTTCTTCTGACCAAATTTAATGTTATTCAGCTTTATGTGAAACCTGATTCTGTGTTTTGGTCCTAGTCACTATCTCTGCCTATTCATTCTTCTGGTAAACCTAGTCAATAAAGCTTTTCAAAAATGAAGAATTATGTAACTTTTGGTTATAATTCAAAACAACATTTGCTAGATCATAGGCTTAATATTTTACATTGATTTATATTGTTCCTTTTATGAGGTAGGTATATTTTCTTATTTTATCAAGTGGGAAAATAAAGATTGGAGAGCTTTTGCTTATTCAGAAATGTTACTAGTAAATTGAAATCTGAAGATCCTAAGATCTTTATACATATTCAGCTTAATGAGTAAAAGCTGTTGTCATCTGGACTCTTGTGAGTCCATTTGGTATCTGCCACATTATTTGCTCCAGAATAGGTAGCCATGAGATTTTCAAACATACTCAGAGTTTGACCTGTAATTTTCCTCTTGTGGGGGGTCTCTTGTTTCTGGGAGGAATGCGTGCAGTGTGCATTGTGTTCAGGCCTTATATCCTTGTGCCCACCCCCTCCCCAGGCCCCTTCATGGCTGTGCTCTTTGCCAAACTCGAGAACATGCTGCAGAACTCCGTCTATGTCAACTTCCTGCTGACGGGGCTGGTGGCCCAGCTGGCCTGTCACCCCCAGCCCCTGCTCCGCTCTTTCCTGCTCAACACCAACATGGTCTTCCAGCCCAGTGTCAAGTCCCTGCTGCAGGTGTGCGATGCATGCATGCATGGGTGCGTCTAGGCTCCATGGTGGGCCCAGCCCGCAGCTGGAGTGACCCTGGGTGGGCTGGGAACAGATCCATGGGGACTAGAAAGAAATGTGTCAGTCTAGAACCACCAGAAATGTCATAAGGTTGTGCTTCATAGGTGCTGGGCTCTGTGAAGAATAAGATTGAGAGCTTTGCGGCGTCCCAGGAGGACTTCCCAGCACTGCTATCTAAAGCCAAGAAGTACCTCATTGCCCGTGGCAAGTTGGACTGGGGTGAGGGTCCTACAGCAGGACCTGCCCCACGCCGCTCCGATTCCCTAGGTGAGGCTTCTTATCCCACCACCCCTTCCTGCCCTCCCTAGGTATCTTATTAGCCCTGGTTAGTTGAAGTAAAACCTTAATTAAGGTGAAACTTCATGCCAGGGACTGGAGAGTTGTAGAAAATCTTTATGTTTGTCCTAGATTTGAGTCAGTGGCTAGAATACAGTGCTGTCAATATTCCATCCCAATCAGTAGTATCAACAAAAATTGCTTTAGGACTTAGGGACTGACAAGGGGATCAGAATAGTCATTAGATTAAGACACTAAAAGTTTAATAGAGGCTGTGACATTTGACATGGCCCTTGAGATATAGGTAGTACTTAGACAAGGGAATAGGAGGTTTTTATTCTTTTGTTCAGGAGACATCCTGGACTGTTTAGTTACAGCAGGGGATTTTAAAGAAAGAAGAATAGCTAGAGGAAAGGCTGGATTTTGCTAGAAAAGAAGGTTCTACTCAGGAAATTGGTCTGGGTAAAGACTCTGCTTAAGTTCCTTATGGTCTAATACTGTGGCTCTTTCTTGCCTCTGTAGTTTTAGCCCTGGAGTCACCAGATAAGCCAAAAACTACAAAGAAAGATAAGATATAGTCTAAGCTCTTAAGCCCAGAGATGAATCCATGAGATGGAAGAATGAAAAGAAATTATTAAAGTTTAGTGAGATAGGGAATGTAAAATAGTAAGTCAGTTGGAGGGTAAATCAGAGGTTCCCAGAGAGGTGAAGATAGTACAATTAAGCTAGAAAGGATGAAAAAGAGTAGAGTGCTGGGCACTGGTGGCTCAGTCCTGTAATCCTGGCTACTCAGGAGAGGCAGAGGATCACCATTTGAAGCTTGCTCAGGTGGAAAGTCCATGAAAATCTGTCTCCAAAATAAAAAAGTAAGGGTTGAGGGCATGGCTCAAGAGATCACAGTGCCAATTAAAGAGGCAAGCCAAGTGAGTGTGGTCCTGAGTTCAAACTCCAGTATTGCCAGAAAGAAAGAGGTGGAGGAAAAATGTAGGGATAGGGAATCTACAGGCATCTACAAACAGACATGAATTGCTCATTGGGTTTTAAGAAGATAGATGTGAAATGACAAGTTAATGGATTTGTATAGCATTTCTATAGACATTTCTGTAGAGGTAGAGAACGTATCATGATCTAGAGGCTTGAGTCTAGTCTAGCTAGTGGTAATAGGTCTGGTCTAGAAATCTGCCTGAAAATTGGAGAGAGGACAGCTCATTTAAGTCTCAGCTGACACAATATTGTCTGGCCACACCCAGTAGAAAGGAGGTATAGACAGGGACAGATGAACAGTGAACTGGTAATACAGAAAAACGGATCTTAGAGAAACAGTGGAGTATGACAAAAGTGAAATGGTTCTGGAACTATGATTTTGCATATATGTAGCCCCTGTGAGTATTGGAAACATAGCAGATGTGGATCCAAGTGTTACAGGATAGATAGGGAAAGGTAGAAGTGGTTACTTCAGTTGTGGAGAGTGATAGGAATATTGCAGATGGAGAAGTCTCTTATGTTAGAGTAGTGATTGGAAAGAGACTTCCTCAGGGTAAGAGGGTATGGAGAGGGAAGGACATAGCTAGAAATGAAGTGGCTCCAGTTTTTGCTGGTTAGGACAAGTTGGCTGAGGAGGTCTGGATAGAGTAGCAGAGGCTGGGCAGGCAGCATTTTGGTATCAGAAAGAACATATTCCCTCTCTTGTTATCTTCAGACAAGAGAGAAAATGAACCGCGAGATTCTTTTCTGGTTCATCTTGTTTTTTTCCATTCTCTCAGAACCTGAGTGGAGAAGTCTAAGAACCTAGAGGGATGGGGGAATCTACTCACCCAGACTAAGGCAATTTCCCTGATCCCAGCACCTTCTTGATACCCTTGTTTATTCCCAGTGAAGAGCCGGAGGCCATCCTTGGGGGAATTACTCCTGCGGCATGCACATAGTCCAACCAGGGCTCGACAGGCGGTACAGGTCCTTCAGCCTGGGCGAGACGGAGCAGGACTTGGACTAGGTGGGGGCTCCCCGGGGGCCTCCACTCCAGTTCTTCTTCCCCGGAGTGGAGCTCCTGAGCGCCAAGGTGAGGCTCTGCGAGTCAAGAACGCTGTCTACTGTGCCGTCATTTTCCCTGAGTTTCTCAAGGAATTGGCTGCTATCTCCCAGGCCCATGCTGTCACGTCGCCTTTTTTGTTGGATACTTCAGAGGAGGGATCAAGCCCTCTCATCTCAGGCTCTGGGCCCCTCAATCCTTAATTTTCTTCCATGGACAATCAGGGCCATAGGTGACTTGGGCGAGGCCAGGTCGCAGGCTCCTTTGAATGTTTGGAGGCAGTGGCAAATGGACTTTTTAATTTATTTCAGATGAATGTTTTATGGAGAACTTGTTGCAATATGTATAAAAGGGAAATCTCTATTCTGTGCTCATTCTTCTTTCCCACCCTTTGTCTGTGGGGTGGGGCCCCCAAAAGGTTGTACATAGGTGGGGGAATCATTGGCTATTTTCTCTCTTTCTGGTAGTAGCATTCATTGCTAGGGTTTCAAGATTTCCTTTTTTGCCCATAGAGGGTGTGAGGACTTGAAGCCTAGGGGGGAAAAAAAAACCCTGGGGTCTCTCTGCCTTCCCTGGGCCCCAGAAGAAAGAAGCACCATGGGCCCAGGATGGTTAGGGGGAGCAGCAGTTGATGTTTATTGGGGATCAGTATCCCTATGCCAGATCTTGGGGGCCTTGCCCCCCGAATCTCTTGCCTCAGCTTTAGTCGTCGCTGTCGAACTCCGAGGATAGACCCTGCAGCAGGGGCAGGGACATGGAGTGCCGGTCGGGGTCCCCGGGGCCCCCACCCTGGGCTCCTGGTGGGGGGCTGCGGGGACTGAAGAGCCAGTTTTCTGCCAGGGTTGGGGATAGTCACAGCTTGACTCATGCCCTGGTCTTCCTCCCTAGTCCCTCTCCCCCCGGTCCTCTGTGCTCTCCCCAACCCCGTATGAGGCCCAAGTGTCTATTTCACCCTCCCTTGGCTCCTTCACATTATCCCCTTCAGGGTCCTGTACACAACTGTGGATACTCCCCCCATTCCTGGGCTGTACTCCCCATCCCTTCTCCCTCCTCCACTTTGTCCCTCCCATCCTCATGTTCATTTCCCCTAGCAGTACCTGACAGCATCTGGGGCCCCCTCCGGAAGGGGTTTCGACCCTTGCAGGAGAATCTGGTGGGTCTGCCTTCAGGCCCTTCTTGGGGAGGTGGTGTGGGTGTAGGTGGGGCAGGGACAGGAGGGGGTACATCAGCAGCTTCAGGGATATCAGCAGGTGCTGATGTGGGGGCCAGAGTTGGTACGATGCTGAGGTTGGGTTTGACCCAGTGGACCCCATGAGGCAATGGGTCTTTGTTCAGAGGCTTCTGTGGTCCCAGCACACCCTTGGGCTGCAGTGAAAACTTGAGGCAGGAAAAGGCAACAGGCAATGACCGCTGTAACCGGAGCACCTGGGGCTCACGGGTTGTAGGCAACAACCCCAGCTGCAGCCAGGAGCAGGAGAAGACCTGGTAGATGACGTAGATGCTGTGGGTGCTTCGGAGCCAGGGAAGAGTCTGCTGTAGGCTCACCTGCCCTGGTGGCAGCAACAGGAAGGCAACCTTCTTGCGCAGGCCACCCATATGTAGGCGGATCCGGCAGGGCTGCCCATCCAACAGTCGCATCTCCTCATAGGCTATCTCAGCTCGGCCATTTGGTGAGTATTCCCGAGTGCAGTGGGCAAAGGCACCCTCAGACCCTGCCTGTTCTAGAAGGCTTGGTAGTGGCCCCACGGGCTTCAGTGCCTTCCGGCCTTGCCTACCTGGCAAAGCCAGGCGGGTGTGGGCTGGGCGGGACTGTTTCACTAGAACTCCCAATAGGTCATAGCAGGTGGCATCCGACAGGAAAGGTACTGCTACTACATTGGACCCAAAACGCTCCTCGATAACCTGCAGGTGGTAGTTCATAAGTCAGGGACTCAGTTAAGATCAGGAGTTAATTTGTACCTTACTCTAGACTGGCCTTCCCACCATTTGCTGTTTAATTACATCTCTACAACATCTATCTTACACTTCCTACTTTTCTCCCTGTTCCTTCCTATAGCAAAACTTTGAATGTCTACTATGTGTCAGAGTAGGTTAGCTACTAGGACACATGAAAGAATGAAACGTTGTCCTTGTCCTATTTTAGCTTCATCTAATGGAGGAGACAAAAATGTATACTGTAGTCAGCTAAGTAAAATAATAGAGGACAAGGCATGAAGAAGACAAGTTATTTAAAGCCTTTGTCTTTGATAGAAGACCAAAGAAGGTTTCTAGGTGGTAATACTTGAGCTTCAAAGGAATTAAACAGGTAGGAAAAGGGAGAAAGGGCAGCCAGTTTAAAAAAAAATAAAAACAACCCCGAGTTTTCAACCACGAGAGCTACAATTAGGAACACGTAATTTCCTATTATATGTAAAGGTATGAAGAGGGAAAGGCACACAGGAACTCGATTATGAAAGGTTTTGTGTGCAGGCCTTTCATAAGTGATGGAATTTTATCCTGAGTACAATGAGAAGGCACTTGAAGGGCTCTAGGCAGGAGGAAAAGGACCATACAGGTATTTTAGAAAACTGATGGTTAATAGGAAGGCTTAAAAATGTAAGAGTATAGTAATAATCTAGGCAAAACATAAGTCCCTGAACTAAAAGGGATGGTGAGACATAGATATTAAGGTTTTAAAATTTGTAGAATTTGGCTTTGGAGATGTGGACAAAAGAGTTCTTAAGGAGCATTCTTAGGTGATTAGTTACATGGATAATATCATTAGCTAAGAAAAAATTCACAGAAATGGGTTTATAATGTTCATTTTTTGCCTATACACTGTGTTACCTCTTGGTATGTACTTTCCATTCTTTCTGTAGGGGATAGTTCTTATATTGAACTTGAGGCTTCATCTTTATAATACTACTTCCAATACACTTTTAGGAATTCCAGTTCCCCTGTCTTTTGAACTTTTTTCTTGTTTTTGTTGGGAGGGTGAAGAGCTTGGTAACCCACTTCTGGAGATAACTGGGAATGCAGCAAAATTATTTTTAGTATTTGGGTGCTATGGTCTCATCTCATTCAAGGTTTCATTGGCCAGGACTTCTGGCTCTTGGTTCTTCTAGGGAGCAATGGCACACAAAATTCCATTCTTTGCATTTCTTTCTTTTTGAGCCCAGTGCTTCAAGTGACGGATTATAATCTCTAGTCCCCAAATCCCACTTATCTATGCCCTTACTGATGGTATTGCCCATTTTCCTGGCCTTCTGGTAGAGTTCCCCCAATGGTCTTCTAAAACAAATCTACTTTTTTGTTACGTGAAGCTGTTTTGGAAGTTCTTCCCTCACGTATTAAAATAGGGTAGCCAGCTGATGGGGTGAAGGCTTAAAGACTATCATCTTGTCATCTGGTTAAGAAAATAATTGGTATACTTTTCTGGCCTGCATGGAAGAATTTCCCATCACTCTTTTTCCTTTGCTTCAGTGAGATAGGAACACTTTAGTTTGGGTGGGGATACCATACTGAAGAACAGAGCTCTGAGAGGGGCTAGTTGGGCTTCTAGGAGTGAGGGCAGTACAGTGCACTGGTAAGTGAGCGTTTGGTATAAAGTGTTTTGCCCCTTAACAGTAACAACATAACCAGCATGCATAACCTCAGAATTCTACCCTAGGTGCTCCCTTAGTGTATAGGATCCTGAACACAGGTGACAAACGGGAATGTGTCCTGGAAATATCCTCCTACAGGAGTGTGGCATTCAAAATACACAGTGCTTATTGTCTAGGATTCTGCTAAAAGAATGAATCTCTGTCTTTGTTGGAGGCTCCTTCCTAATGTATAGACATTGCTATGAGGCTTAATAGGCTTTCCTCTTCTTTTTCTTCATCTCTTTTTAAAATTTGAGGTATAGTCTTACTGTTTAGCCCATTCTGTCCTTGAACTTGATATCATCCTGCTTTTATCTTCCTAAGTGCTGGAATTGCAGGTGTGTACTACTCCTATGCCCAGCTTTCTTTTTCTGCTTGAGAGCCCCAATGGTTATCCTAAAATAGGAATAATAGATTGTTGAGTTGTTTAGTTTTTGGCTAGGGGTAACTGTGCTATTGGCAAAACTGCACTTGATATTATTGTCTGCTTCTGTTGAGCTTATACTTCTGTAGGCCTTTAGATTTAGGTTTGACAGAGACAGCCTTGGTAAGTGATGGTAGGCTATCTTCCTAGATAAACTTTGGTTGCTTTAAATTATGAATGTGGGAGCTCTTGAGCCACACGAGCAGTTAGCCAAATGTTTTACAAAGTGCCCAGTAAATTGCTAATAGTTCTGGAGACAAGAAACCTGGCAATTCACAGTTGCCCTACTCCTTGAATTTCCCACATTTCCCATCCTGTACATCTCTATCCTGATTTTCCACTGAAATAATATAGTGAGTTTTTTCATACTCAGAGATGATGTACCATTTAGCGGATGACCCTATTTACTTTTACCTTAATTGTAATTGGTCCAGTCAGGGTGAACTAATATGCTGCTGAAACCAGTTACTCTTGTAACTTTCTTGATTCTGCTTTTCTGTCTTTTGGGATGATCAGCTTCCAAAGCACCATCACAGGTGCTTTGAGTCTGAATGGATTCTGCTTTAAGATGGTATATTCAAACCTGGAACTATACATTTTTATTTTTTTCCCCCATGTCCTGACTTTTGCAGGATGTTGCTTGTAGTATGCTATTTGTTCATCCATCTACTTACTCATTAATTCACTCAGGTGTTTATTATACCTTTTATGTACTAGCTACTACTCTCCCTGTCCCCATTTTTTGTGACTGATTCCCCCTTCCCTAGTAAGAATGTCAGTCTTCAGAAAGCCCTCTGGATCTTCTAAGTTCTCTTTAACCTAACACTTTTTCTCTGCTCTAATAAGCTCCTTACCCATTGTCTTGAAAGGAAACTACCTTACTGTTTTTTCTGTTGTGGTTAAATGGGACAGTTTGTGCTTGACACATAGCAAGCACTATTATTGTCTTAAAATTCCTTTTTCCTACTCACATCCTGTCCAGGTCCATCCAGATCAGACTTTACCTACCTTATCTTTGATGAGGGTCCAAGTGGTATCAGCTTCATCCAGGGTTAGCAAGTGGGGGGTACTAACCAACATGGTGTGGGGTATAGGAAGGATTGGGAAGGGCAGTGACTGCTGCAGAAACCCCAAGCTGCCCAGTTAGATGAGCCCCTATGAGTTGGGTTGTGACCAGCTGCAGCATGAGGTCATAGAGGTCCTGCCAGGTGATGGAGGCCTGAGTAGGTATAGTAACTTTCCTAGCCTTCCTGCAGCCTGTGGGCCATACCTTTTTTTTGTAGTGATGGAGATTGGACCCAGGTCCTTGCATATGATAGGCAAGTGCTCTACCTTTGAGCATATAGTTCCAGATCACCCCTTCCCAATTCTTCCCACTTTTCCCTTCTCTCCCTCCTCCCCTTCTCTTTCTCATTTGGCACAGTCTTACTGTGTAGCCCTAGGTTGACTCAAACTTGCAGTTTTCCTGTCTCAGTTTCGCCAGTGCTGCTGGGATGTGGTTCATATTTTTGAGTCATCTATCCATCATCTTGCTTTAGGGGAGGAAAAGGCAGATTGTGTGTTGGAATTACCCAGGGGCTTAAAAAAAATCACTGATGCCTGTCTCTTATTTCCAAAGATTCTGATTTAATTCGTCTGGGGTGTGCCTAGCCATACCAACTTCTAAGAGCTCATGAGGAAATTTTAATGTGCAGCTTACATTGAAGCCCACTTTTTAAAAACAACTTTATTTGTGTGGTACTGAGCAAGTACTCTGTTACTTGAACCTGACCCCAGCCCTTTTTACTCTTATGTTTTTTGAAAAGGTGGGGTTTTGTGCTTTTGCCATGGGCTGACCTCAGGCTCTGATCCTCCTACTTGGATTCCTGGGTGGCTGATATTATCTTGCTTTTTTTTTTTTTTTTTTGCCAGATGGATGAAACTTGAACTCAGGGTCTTGTGCTCTCATTTGTCTTTCTTATTCGCAGCTTGGACTCTACTACTTGAGCCATTCCTTGAGCTACCATTTTGCTGATTAATTGTAGATGGCATCTCATAGGCTTTTCTGCCTGAGCTGGCTTTGAACCATTGTTCTCCAGGTCTCAGCCTCATGTGAAGCTAAGATTATGGGCATCAGTCACCAGCAACTGGCATCATCTTGCTTTTTGTGATAGGATCTTGCTAACTTTTGTCTGTGCTGGCCTTGAACCCACAGTCTTTTTCTTCTTCCAAATAGATGGGATTACAAACATGAGCCACAGTGTCCAGTAAGCCTATTTTTAATGGGTGGATTGTAATGCAGTAAAAGCAGCCATGTGTGTAGGAGGGTGTCATGCTGAGCAGTAACTATGTGGAGAGTAAGAGTCTAATTGGAATAATGTTGCCTTAGTAACTGGTGAGAATTTTTAGGAAACCATAACATTTACTCAGGTAAATTTTAGAAAAATTTTCTTTACTCCCTGTCTTGGTCTGATTTTTGTGTAGTAGTTCTCTCCCATTGCAGCTCTTATCTATTCATTATTTCCTATATGTCTCTGTCTAGAGATCTCTGCTTGGTTTTTCTAGAGATGAGTGGTTTTTCTCCATTCTAAACAGTCTTTTTAGGAGCCCTTTTCCCCTGTGTGGGGCCAGCTTGTAGAGCTATCTGCAAAGCTGGTTATCATCTGAATGAGGAGGTTTGAGTGTGGGCCACAGAGAAGAGTTCTACAGTGATGGGGAAGAGTGTTGTCAACACTTTTCCAGGAGAAGGATTAATATCATACTTGTTGAGCTCTTATGTCCTGAGGTCTGGATGCATTATCTTTGATAATCCTCTTAGGAACCTCTCCAAGTAGGCACCATTATTATTTCATTAATAACTGAAGAAAAGGTTCCCAAAAGGTAATTAGTCCAAGTCATATAGTAAGTTAATAGAGGATCTAGGATTCAGATGAAAGTCTGCTTGATTCCTGCTTAAATAATGAAATTGTAATTGTTTTTGGTGAAGAGAAAAATAGACATGTTCTTTCAGCTCATTTTAGTGTGTGGCAGAAGAGGTACACATTAGATGCACAGAACATAGTGGTTTGGTGGGAAGGAAATAGGCAGGGTGAAAGAGAAGCCACAACAGAGAGATCAGAAGCCTCAAATTTCTTAAGACAAGCGAAACCAAGTTCTTTCCTTCTTGTGCCACTTAGTACTTCTTTATTTTTTATTCTTTTCATTTTTAAATGGTGCTGAGGATCCAGTCCAGACAAAGGCCTTATGTGTGCTCGGCAACCATGCTCTACCACTGAGCTGTGACATATATATCCATACATCTCTAAGCCTGGGCCTGGGTTGTTGTCCTAATATTTATCACAGGCTGGCCTTGCACATACTGCAGCTCAGGATGGCTTCAATCCCTCTTATTTTTGTTTTCCAAGTATGGGGGGATTTCTGGCTTGTGTCATGATATTTGGCTTAGCACACTTTTTATTTTGGCTGGTCACTATACAACTTAGTGTTGTATAGTTGCTGCCTATGTTCTTTATAGAAGGGAATTCCAAGTAAAGAAGACAAAGGTAGAAGAGAAAAACATATACAAGAACTAGAAGTAGAGGCAGTTGAAGGAGGCAAAGATACAGAAGTAGAGAGTGGGGTGAGGAGCAGAAGCAGAGAACAATGTACATGCAGATGATAGAAACCCAGAATGAAAGGGGGTGGGGGAGTAGATGAGGGAAAAGTGGATTATTGGTGAAATAAGATGTGGAGGATTTCTACAGAAACTTTGGTTCATAGAGATGGACTCAGATGGAAAATAGGCTACTGATGAACTCCTCTGCCAGAAGCCCATATATCATTTTTTTTCTTGCTTTCTAATTCACATAATTTTCTAGGCTTCCTAAATTTCATATGGTCTGTGCTGACATTAATTAAGTTTGCCTTTACTTTTGGCTCATAGAGTCTGAGACTGAATGATCCTGAAGGAAACTGTTACAGCTGAGTGTGGACTGGCTGTCATCATATCTTGCGGCTGGGGTTGGCTTCTAGTGTGGCCCATTTCTGGGGACTCCTTGACAAAGAGGCACTGGCTACCTGTAGGATATACATTATGAAGATGATCTGACTGGTAGCTTGTGGATAACAGATGGGGTTGTTTATCCAGAGAGCATGTGGTACTCTGCACATGGCTCTTGGGTAGTATAGAATAATGCTAACAAAACTTTAGAGGAAATGGTACTATGGCTCAAGTAGTAGAATGTTAGCCTTGAGCAAAAGGAACTCAAGGACAGCACACAGGCCTGTAATCCTAACTACTCAGGAAGCTGAAATCGAGGATCACAGTTTGAAGCCAGCCTGGGCAGAAAAGTCTGCATGAGACTCTTATCTCCAATTAACTACTCAGAGACTTGAAGTAGTGCTGTGGCTCAAGTGGTAGAGTGCCAGCCTTGAATAAAAAGAGGCTCAGGAACAGCACCTAGACCCTGAGTTCAAGCCCCTCAACAAAGAAAAAAAAAAGAGTTTAGAGTGGTAAAGAACTCTTAATAAATCTTATCTCTCAGGTTGCAGGGATAATCATACAGATCCTTCTTCATACCTTATTTGAAACTTTTATAATTGAGAACTTGTCAGATTATAGGAAGGGAATATATTCATATATTAAGAACTACTCCAGTGGGATTCAGGGAAGTGCTCTGTAATTAAACACATCAACATTTTTCTTTTTCAGTTAATGTATGGATATTTGCATTAAATGAGACAAAGACTATAAATAGGATCATAATGGCTGAAGTCAGGTTTTAGACCAAAGTTATGGAAAAAAACCCCGCATATTTCTTCAGAGATTTTTTTTGAATTTTGAAATTGCAGGTAAATGAACTGTCACACAGTTAATTTTTCTCAGGCTTTTATGAGGAAGGAAAGAGTACTGGAAAAGCTTTCTAAACATATCATGTGGTAGGTATGTATTACAATCTCAATCCAGAACAAAATATGAATTTTCAACTGTGTAGTTTTGGCTTGAAGGAAGAAAGTTCTTACAATGGACAACGTACAGCTTTGGAACCAGCTGCCTTGAAGTTGTGCACAACCAGTGGTTAAAGGTGCCTTAGAAGAGTCTTCCTGTGGGGGGAGGATGGTGGATGCATTGCTTATGAACATTGGTTGCCCGTGATTTCCCTTTTCATGTAAGAGGGGGAAAATGGTATATGTATATATATGTGTGACACGAGATAATCACACAGGAATTTCTTTATATTTCTTTATAATGTTGTAATAAATATCTTACTGCATATGTGTTTGCTGACATCTCAGTTATTTTCTCAGGATACATTTATTAAAGGAGACTCATGAAGAGGACATGGACATCTTAAACATGATCCATTAAGATTAATTGTTGTCACAAGTATCCACAAAATCACTGCTTAGAGGGTTTTTTGTTTTGTTTTGTTTTTTAACTCAGAAGTTCAGAAAAAATAAAAGTCTTGAGAATGAATGAACTCCCACTTAGGTTGACTGTAGATATTTTCCTCATTCATTTGGGTTCAGTATGACCACACCTGAAAACCATGCCGATCTGGGCCATCTCTTCACTTCCTTGTCTGTAAGGATCTGGTGAAACCCTTGCATGATCCTAGAGATGGCATCATCTGCTTTCTTCAATTCTGCAGCTGCCTCTTCTGTTTGGTGACCCATGGTGCTTGCTCCAACTATTTGAGCTGCAAGAGCTGGGTGTTCCTGGTTCAGGTTTTCATGGCTAACATAGGTATTGACATGTGGTAATAAAGGTTTTCTTGGAGCTTGGGTCTGCCTGTGCAGACTGCATCAGGCCTAACTGTGACTTAACTTTCTGATATGAAAGACTGTCCTACAATGCACCTTCCATTGTATAATCTTAGCTGAAAACCCAGTGTTAGGTAATATCCTGACACTTCCTGTTTGCTTTCTCTATAGTTTGTCATCTACAGCAGGATGAAATATTCCTTTTTCATCATTGAACCAACATGGTTGCTTACAGTGACATTGAGAGTACAGATACAGGTGCTGATGGGAATTATATTGGAGGCGTTTATATTCTTGTTCAAATTGCACAGAAAGGCAGTAGAGAAGCAGTCATTGTGACGACTTCAGGCAAGGAGGTTTTGTGGTTATCTGGGATATTAATTTATTTTTTCATTTGGGACTC